CACACTTTCTGGGGCGTGCAGCACGCCCCAAAGAGCGTGTAATACGCTTCAAATACAGCTCGCCTCGACTCAGGGGTCCGCTGCACGCCCCAGAAAAGTGTCTAGCAGAACACAGGGTTGAGTCGCGCAACATGAATCGAAAATGTGCTGCAACGCGCCCTCTTTTTTCTCAGTGTACAAACTAATGTTCAAAATCACCTATAATTCGTAAATTTTAACCGAATTTTATTTTTCTTTTTGGAAAATGCTAAGCTATAAATTTGTAAGAATAATGTGCATTTTTTAAATTTTTATTTGTTTAAAGAAATTATTATTATTGTTAATTACTAACTCTTTACATATACCAAAACGGTTAACCCCGAGTATACTCGGGGTAACTAAATATTTTATACACAGAAAAAAACTCGACTCATTTTTGTTCCAAGTCATTTGGAAGTCGGTCTCGAAATGAGTAATTGGCAACTTCAAGTGACTCAAAATGAAAAAAATGTCAGGTTCTAGTTTTTTTGTGTGTGTTATGTTGGCAACAACTGTAGAAAATGTCTGTTGCGCGTTGCGCCGTTATCTTTTTTGTGTTTTGCATGTTTCGTGTTACATGGTTGCTATCCCTGTCAGTAAATTCACAAGTGTCTAACCTAAAAATTTATTTTTTTATTTCTCATAAAAGCAATAAATTGACTCGAAGTACCTATTAAAGTTTTGACAAGTGCAACATGTTTATTCATTACAAACAATTATTTTAATTCATATTTTTGTGAATTATTCACAGTTATTCCAATGTGAGTGTAATTTTATCATAAGGGGCGTTTCATATGAAAACAACATTTGATGTCTCAGATTTTTCTCATATTATAAGAATTGAGAGTGATTAGGGTCCTAATGAAGTATACTAAGTAACAATAAAAAAATTATTTTTATTTTTCTAGATATTTGCATTAAAAAATTTTTGTAAAATTTTTTTATTTTGAAAATAACTTTTTCTTACTTTGAGTTACAAAAAATTGTTCTGAACATTTTTTGTGCTCAAAATACTAAACTTTCAGAAAAAATTACTAAAAATAAGAATTATGAATTTTAGAATAATTTGTTTAAACAATAAAATTTGTTTTTAATATTTAAACTCTTTCTCCCTGTTTCTCAGGTCTAAAAAAAATCATGAATAATGTTGATAATATAATAAAACTTTCCTAAAATTTTTAGCTTGGCGTTATTTTTTGTTTTTGAGAAAAAAATTCATAAAGATTACAATGCAAGCGCTCCGCCCAGCGGGGAGCTGTCCGACAGGTGTGAAGAGGCGCCAATATTGGAGTTATTATTGAATAAGGAAAGAAATGTTAATTTGCACATTTAAAATATTTTAAATATATACTAATTTAACAAAAAATGTATTTAAATGTTCGAAAAGAAGACCCCTGCCTTCCCCACCCCTGTGAGGTACAATCATCTCATTACTTTCAAAAACGTGAAATAATTTCATGTAATTTTTAACTGTAATTTATTTACATTCCTAAATATTAAAGGAAGAAAAAAGAAAAGGAAACGAAAGGATGCTTCGAACTGATTTTATTTAACAGTATAACTGGTATCAATAATATAATTGGTTTTCTTTAGGTTATTTTAAAAAAATTCAATTTTTACAAATCAGTACTAACCCAATAATGTAAAAAAATATTATTCTTATTCGACACAAAATTAATATTTTACAAAGAATAAAAACACTTTTAAAAAAGGTTAAAAATATAATAATCTCCGTAATAATTAAAATAAAACAGTTTTTAATTGTTATTCTTCTGCTAACGACATAAAAAAATCTTTTGAATTTAAAACAAAATCACTCGTTGGTCTTCTTGAATTTTCTGGGGCAGCATACCGTTTTTTGTTAAATTATTAAATATTTAAAATATATTAAATGTACAAATTAACATTTCTTTCCTTATTCAATAATAACTCCAATATTGGCGCTTTTTTACACCTGGCGGACAGCTCCTCGCTGAGCGGAGCGCTTGCATTGTAATCTTTAGAAATTTTTTTCTCGAAAACAAAAAATAACGCCAAGCCAAAAATTTCAGGAAAGTTTTATTATATTATCAACATCCCAGGTTGATTTCAACTCTAAAATGAACAGTCACTGGGAAGTTTTTCTAGATTCTGGCTAGTGATTGACCAGAAAATCTGGCAAGTGATTGATTGGAAGTGTAACGCGCTGCTTTAGCAGTCACTGGTTAGATTATCTGGCCAGTGACTAGCAAGTAACTGACCAGTAACTGGCAGGTTTTCTGATCAAAATCTAGAATAAAATATAATTTTTCCTTGCTCTTTTTATTTTCTTTATAATTACATATTTATTTATATTTTTGTGTTTATTCAAATATTTAAGATTAATGAACAATTACTCTACCAATAACACTTAAATCTAAGAATAAAAAATTCGCACGCATGAGGGATCGAACCCTAGACCCTGGAGACACAACGCATGTGCGTTACCACGCAGCCACGGTGACTACATAGTAACTTATCATAACTACAAGTTTAAGAACTGAAGTTCTATTCCGATTGTGATCATAATTTATTACCAGTGACTTGTCAGAAGTAATGATCAAAAATCATGACCAGATAAAACATGATGAACCAGATGACAGTGAAACGATCATACCTTTTATATAAAGTTACTTTAGACTTTTCTGTTTTTGACCGTATGGAACATAAAAATTATTTTTAATATCTAATTATAAATGATTGACTAAGAGTGTATTTTTATGGGACTGGTGCTTTGTTTTTTTCCTTAGTAACTGGTCAGTTTCTGTGTCCGCAGTTTCTTTTTTTGATAGTGTCAAGATTTTCTGGCTAGAGATTTGGAGAAATCTTGAATAATTCTTTTAATAGGATTCGGCAAGTTTTTCTCATCAGTGGTGGACCAGTTTTTCTAGGTGGAATCTTAAATAATTCTTTAAATCAGTGACTGGCCAGTGTCTGGAAAGAAATTCTTATCACTATTATGATCAGTTTTTCTGGTCAGTGACTTGATAAAACTACTGTTCACAAAGGGAAATTGTTTGTATTTAGTGAAACTGGCCAGTCACTCATTCAGGACTGGCCAGATTGTCTTGGCAAGTAAAAGTCGATCTCGACTCTACAGCTACTGGAAGAAAACAAGTAATACTTGACAAATTTCTACCTATGATTATTCATGATTTTTTTCAGACCTGAGAAACAGGGAGAAAGGGTTTAAATACTAAAAACAAATTTTATTGTTTAAAACAAATTAACCTAAAATTCATCATTTTTATTTTTAGTAATTTTTTTCTGAAAATTTAGTATTTTGAGCACAAAAAATGTTTAGAACAATTTTTTGTATCTCAAAGCAAGAAAAAGTTATTTTCAAAATAAAAAAATTTTACAAAAACTTTTTAATGCAAATATCTAGAAAAATAAAAATAATTTTTTATTGTTACTTAGTATACTTCATTAGGACCCCAATCACTCTAAATTCTCATAATATGAGAAAAATCTGAGACATCGTATGTCGTTTTCATATGAAACGCCCCATAAACACAAAATGATACCCCTTCGACTCATTTTGAGTCTTTTCCCCAGAAACTGAAAATGAGTCGAAGAGTATCATTTTTGTTGCACTTCAAAATAAGTATCATATGCTACTCATTTTGAGTTCGGTTCTTTTCTGTGATAACTCGTCAACAATACATCGGAATTACATGATCTAAAGTGGAAATGTTATCAGTACTTTCTTTTGGCGAAATATTGATTTTTGTACCTGTGAAATCAATCAAATAAAAAACAATTATTAAAGGAGATTCACTTTCTATAATTATAATTAAAAAACAGTTATTTTTAAATATAAATTTTTATAAATTAATATGTATATAATTTATATTTATAAATTAATATGTATATAATTTATATTTATAAATTAATATGTATATAATTTATATTTATAAATTAATATAAATTAATTAATAATAATAATATAAATTATAATTAATTATAATAATATAAATTAAATTAAAATTTTGAAGTATTGTGTTCATCATGCCTGTATTATGATTTTCTGAAAGAGCCGTGGATGTCTGCACAATACTCTGATTTTCTGTAGCCACAAAGTGTCTATCGTCCAAGTCGAAGGGAAGAATAAGGCTGTTCGAAAAGTCGTGAATGTCTCCGATCAGAGCGATCGAATTTTCATTCATTGCATCTACCTGGTTGACCATATTAGCAGAAGCTTCAAATTGGAAAGAATTCGTAGACAGCGTAAAATCCATGATAGGAATAGCGGCATTTTCCATTAAGAGTTGATCCTCGTTAATATCTCTTATCTCACTTTGTGGAGTAACTATTCTAACCGTATGATTATCTAATACCTCATTGGATTTGATTCTTGGTTTATCTTTTCGATTATTACCTTAATTTGCAAATGTAGAAATCATTTAAATAATTATATCTTACATATAATGAAACCGATTTAACGAATCTGATACTAAAATTAAAAAAAAATCCATTTGTAAATACTTACTCAAAATGCAAAAGCATTTAAATAGTAAAACTGTATAAAAATTGTATAGAAATCATATAAAAACTGCGAAATTTTAAAAACTTAATTGATTACGCTACCAGTAGATGATTCGACGAGTTGAAGCCAATAATCAAATAACCCTTTTTTCAACATCGTCATTCCACAATCTTGTCGATGAAGCATTTTTGAAGTTTTGTAGTAAATTTGGAGGTAAACTAGTCTCAAAGTTTTGTAAAAATGTTTGCTTCCCAAGTTGATCTTCATTATTAGAATCTTCTTGTTTATCCAAAGTTTTTTTTATTTTTTTTACTCTTGTCTAGAATATCATAGTCCACAGCACTAGGATTAAAAGGCCACAATCCTGAAGCTTTAAAACCTTTAACAATGGCATTTATCTCCTGTTCTTTCATACTGTCGAGAGCAAATTGAAAAACTAAAGGAAAATCAGTTTTTTTGATTCGAGTAATATTTTTCAAAATTTTCCACTTCGGCACAGCTTTTTCCAAGCTACTTTAAAAGGATTAAAGAATGATATGTCAAGTGGCTGCATGACGTGTGTTGAATTTGGGAAAAGACCAATTATTTCAATTTGCTTGTCTCTACAAAATTTTACAAGAGGTATAGTTATGTGCGAAGAGTGATTATCAAGATAAATGATCACTGGAAATTGAATTTTTTCTTGTACAAGCCATGGGTAAAACACATTCGTTATGTATTCGTAGAAGGTCTCGGTTGTCATCCAACCATTTTCTGATACACCTATACCCCATCCTTTTGGTGTGTTATCAACAATGTTTTTTGGTATCACACCTTGGTAAGAATACATAAGCATGGGTGGAACACGAATTCCATTTGCAGAATACATGAATAAGACAGTGAGGCTTTCTTTCTCAGAATCGACTATCCTGTAAACAGAACGAGCGCCTACCTCCGTGATGACTTTTTCTGACTCAGGACATAAGACAATATTCGTCTCATCACAATTGAAAACTCTGCTTGAAGGAATATCTAACAAGTTTTTCTCTCTTAAATATTTTTCTTGTTCCTCAAACCATTCTTGTAGGTCTTCCTTCGACACAGCTGCTCTACTCGTACTTAAATTTTGAGGTTTTCTTAAGGTCAGTTGAGGATGTCGTTTCCTGAAACTCTCGTACCAGTGGCGACTGGGACGATTATCTGCGAACGGTGTTTTTTTCTTTAATAATGTGACGTAATTTTGCACAGAATCCAGAAGTTCTGTTTTTGTAGCCGGCATGCCTCTCTTATCTCTATATAATATCCAATTAACTATTTCATTTTCTTCTTTTTTTGATAATATACTTCCTGGTCCTGGTTTTAATTTTGATACATCAGGATTATTCTTTTTTCTACTTAGGGTAGTTACAGGTACATTATACGTTCTAGCTGCTTTTCTCAAAGATACTCCTTACTCGACAGCCTTCAAAGCATGCTCCACATCTTCAGGTTTATAATTTAATCTTTTTAACTTTTTTTAGGCACTTTTCCAGTATTTACGAAAACTTTAGACTTCTGCTTTCCTTGACTCCGGACATTATTTCTCTTTAGCACTCCTGCACCTTTTCCACTAGATTTATCCTGTTTTACTTTTTGAGTTTTCATATTTGATTGTACATTCTGAAATTAAGAAATTCGACCTGTATATATAATTCTAATAAAGAAAGAATTCATAATATCTATAAGAAAGCACTCTAACGAGTTGCGTGTTAACATGTAAAGTGACATTTGTAATAATCTTTAGACTTTTCATCTTAGCAACAATGAAATTAATAATAAAGTATTAATCAAGACAGATAAATTAAATCTTAAAAAATATATTTGTATTAAGATTTGTGGAAAAACTGTTAAGTGTTAAATTCATTGATTATATTATTGTTATGTGTTATTAAAAACTGAACATACGTAAATCGTCTTGGATTTATTGTAAAAATTTTTCATTTTTTACATTTATCGTACAAATTTTACATTTTTTACATTTATTGTACAAATTTTACTTTTTTGGAATATTTAAAAAATAAGTACTGAAATGCATACATAAAGGCCAAAATTACAAATTTATAACCGTACCTGGTAGCAAGCCACGCGTTAGTGTATTTATAGGTTAGGAAACGATTTTTTACATTATTATCATTATTTCACTTTCCTTGACAATTATCTTCTATCACAAAAGTAATACAATCTTATGTGGTCAATTTGGCTAACAAAATATTTTTTAAATATTACTGTGAAATAAAAAAGAGTAATTTGAAGGACTGTTCCATAAATACGTACAACGCAGCAAAACATATGTCCGTGAAATGTGGAACACAGAATGCATGTTCCATAAACCGGGACGTTTCATAATTCATTGTACCGATTATGAAACGTGCGAAATTTTAAAAAATAGCAAATCAATAAATAAAAACACTTTTTAGAATATAAATCGTCGACTTCAGAGTTTTTGAGAAAAACTATACAACATTCATGAAAATAATTAAAATCAATTATAATTGATATTGAAAAAAAGCATGCTTGACTCTACTTTGCTTATTTAAACTAAAAACTGTCATCTCTAACTGTAATCGTAGTTAAAAATACATCATAGTAATTATTTTTTAATATTATATGGCAGTGAAGTTGCGTAAATATGTAAAATAATAATATATCTTTCTAAATTTCTTTGCTTTAATGTTTTCAAACCTTTAAATAATTATTTAATTCCAGATTTTTTCACACTGTTTCATTAACTGGGACATTGTTTCATAATTGGGACTTTTACCTTATAACTTTAAAAAAAAAACTTTTTTAGATTGTCTTCATAATTAATAACATTTTTTTATTAATATTAATGATACCTATATATCGAGGATAAAAAAATTAAAAGTACCTATCATGGAAAAACAGGGGTAATCCATTTGACCCGCCTACCCTATTTTGCCCCACACTGAGAAAAATAGAGTTTGAAAAACTGGGAGTCAATATTGAAAAAACTGGACTCAGTCCAGTAAAAGTACATTAATTCATTTCCATCAAGCATCTTAGGGTGTTGCGTATAGTGGATAGAGGGTCTTAGTTCCAAATGTCACTGTAAAGAGCATTGAAACACAGGCGAAGATTATAAGGCGCGCTGCAGTGTGCATACTAGAGAAACTGGACTCAGTCCCCTACTTCGAAATTTTCACAATGAGGGAACGCAGGCGCGGAACCTGTCAAAATAAATGGCCGACGCGACGCGAAACGAGTGTTTCCTTTTATTCACTTCGTCAATTTTATATAAAAAAAAACAGTAACCAATCATTAAAAAAAAGAAAAATATGTTAAATGCACCCTTTATATATTCATATTCATTAATTCACAAGTTTTATTCTTCCCACATCTTCATACTTACAATTAACAACTAAATGCATCGGAAAATCTTACAATCATACGGGATTGAACACCTACCTAACCATACAACTAAATATACGCATAATTATAAATCGCACGCTTTTACATTAAGCCTCTCGGCTACGCAATCGATGGGGGAAATTTCCTATTTAAGAAACATCCCTTACCAATGAAATAAATTAGATGATGCGTGGATTTTACTTTGTAATTAATGTAAGTATGGATGTCAACAATATTCATAATATTGAATAAATAATATTGTCAACTAGTTTAAATTTGATACGCGGTTATTAGAATTTAATAATAAATAAATAAAAAACATTAATTTTTTCCTAACCTTTTTCAAGTTTGACACTCCTCATGGTAAATTTGATTATTCTTTTTTTCCGTGTACAAAATAGTAAATTGACGTTGAATGAAATTGTATAATTAATTATTCTCACAGCAATATTTAATAATTTAATGAACTTAACTGCACTGCATAATAGTTGAGAGTAGTAATAGTAAGTGAAACGGTAAGATAAGTGAACGGCCATTAGTGTGCGAGAGAGAGAGAGAATAACTTGTGGTTTTCGAGTAGGTATCTACTTTATGTGCACGGCATTCATTTTTCGAAAGAACTGGACTGAGTACTATTTGTTCAATATTCGCTTCTATTATTGACTTGTGTTTTGTACACTGCCGCGTTCTTTTAACAATTACATAAGAAAGCAACTTCTCATTCCAATTTTTTATACTCTTATTCCCTCTTAGACTATATAAACAGTCTTGTTTAAGCTGATGAATGGGATAACTTGTGTTGAGTCCCAAACTGTTCAGCTATGAAACTTCTAATACTATAGTGTGTACCTGTCACATATTATTCTATAAAGGAGTACTACACTGACTGCATAAATCATTTTTCCATTTTTCTCCGTGCACTCTCCCCTAATGCCCTTTGAATTTCAAACATGGGCCGACCTTTACTATAAGGACCAACCTTAAGTACATATATTTTTTAATCTTTATAACTTCTTCATTTTAAAACTAATCAATTTACTCTGTTCAGCAAAACTGTTCCTATTGCACAGGACTCTCCAACAATATACTTCAATTGATCGGCACGCGGCTGCAGTTTCCCATGATTAGATTGTACACTTGAAAATTGTACACGTTAAACTCTACTTTTCAAACTCTACCTTATAAATGTATTATTAATTTTAAACTCTACATTTATAATTGTACCCCGTCAAATTTTTAAGTTTTTAATCAGCTTTATTTTGTTAAATTATACACTACTTAATTACAAAATTTGAATTGATGAAAAAAAAGAAAGAAGTGATCTAATTGTACACTATCAAATTGTTACAGTACAACTCTACACCAAATATTTTTAAAAACTAAAATCTTTAAATTATGCACAAAAATTTACACATTTTTATTTATTTTATTTTCTTATACTGTACACTATCCAATTCTACACTAACTTGCATAATGAGTATTTTTAATAAATTATCTAACTCTGCATCATTAGACTGTGTTTTGTTAAATTGTACCAGTAATATTTTTTAAAGTAATAATTTTAAGCTTTACACGAAATAAAAATTTGTCAAACTGCACACTATTAAACTGTATAACGTGAAAATCCCAATATAAATATAATCGCCACTGCCTAGATTTAAATTTTTCATTGTTGTCAATTGTTACTATTCATTTAATTGCACAGGGCGACAAAATAATAAAACCTTTTGGTGCGGGAAGTATCAAAGCTATTTCTGAAATTAATAATAAAAATCGAACAAAAAAGTAATTTAAAAAAGCTGTCACTATTTTTTATGAACTGTCAAGGGGATAATATAATTGTTTAATAGAAGTATTTTCATAGAATTATTTACCAGAAATTTTTAATAAAGATTATTATTCGTTTTCATTACTTATTTTTTTGATAATAATTCTAAATAAATTAATTTCTTATTTTCTTTTTGTTTCAGGTGAGTTAAACAACACATGTTTATTGTCTAGTTTATTTCGTAAGTAAATATAGATTTAAATACCTATATAAAATTATAGATAAATAAATTATACATTATAAGGTAAAGTGCGGATAGATTATATGTACCTATTGGCCATAAACAATTTTACTGTAAAGTTCCAGCTCGCTGGTACCCCGGGGTTATTAGTAATAATAATGTAAAAATTTCAGATCAAGGATATTTAACACGTAAGAAAATATTAGCAATTATTTTCTTGTTTCAAATTAATCAGAAAAACATATTAGATCGGCATTTTACATTTTTTATAATAATTATTGTAATAAATGATAATAACTTACCGCGGGGGGCGTCTTACCCACCCAAGTGGGATATATGGCCAAATGCAGACCTTTTGTATTTTCGTTCTGATTAATTTATTATTTATTTTAGGTATTTGGTCCTTACAAATAGTAAATTATATAGTTAATGATAAATAGTAATAGTGTATAAAAATCGAATAGTCAATTAAAAATATTAATATTTGTTGAATTTAGATGTAATTTTCGAATTGGCGGGCATCTATCCGCACTTTACCCTAAGTAAAATATTCTTATCAAAGGAATAATTTCAAAATTGGGGCGGTAGCGATACTACACATTTGAACTCTACATTGATGAACTGTATACATTCGATTGTATACAGTTGAATTGTATGCAAATATGTATTATAAAAATTTATCATTGAACTGCATACATTTCAACTCTACACAAATAATTTTTAATAATTTTATTTTTTTAATATTATTGTTTGAATACAGTTAGATTCTACACTAATAAATTTGGTAAAATAATAACAAAAACTTCTACACATAGTCAGATTCTATACAGTAGAATTACATACCGCAAAATATTATTTTAGG